GACTCAATCATTATTGAAGAATAGCCTCAGGCCGATTTCGTGATCTGTAGCCTTCATAATCCAAAGAAAATGGCCTTTCGTCGCCCAAGAATTTACGAAAATACCGTCCGAAAATAAGTTGGCCCAAATAGATGATTAACGAAATTATCATCCGTGGAGAATAGGATCAATAGAATTCATTATCGGTGGAGAATAGCAACGGCCTGATTCCGTGATCTGAAGCCTCCAGAATCGAAAGAAAATGGCATTTCGGATAAATCGCCCGAAATTTGTGATGGTATCCCTTTGGAATCTGCCAAAAATTGACCCGGAATAAATCTGCCCAAATCGGTGCTGAATGGACTCAATCATCGTTGGAGAATAGCCTCAGGCCGAATCCGTGATCTGTAGCCTTCAATATCCAAAGAAAATGGCCTTTCATTGCCCAAGAAATTACAAAAATGCCATCCGAAAATAAATTAACCCAAATCGATGCTTAACGGACTTATCATCCGTGGAGAATGGGACCAATAGGCTTCATTATCGGTGGAGAATAGCCACGGCCTGATTCTGTGATCTGAAGCCTACAGAATAGAAAGAAATTGGCATTTCGGATAAATTGCCAGAAATATGTGATGGTACCCCTTTGGAATTTGCCAAAAATTGAACCGGAATAAATCCGCCCAAATCGGTGCTTAATGGACTCAATCATCGTTGGAGAATAGCCTTAGGCCGAATCCGTGATCTGTAGTATTCAATATCCAAAGAAAAAGGCCTTTCGTCGCCCAAGAAATTACGAAAATGCCATACAAAAATAAATTGGCCCAAATCGATGCTTAACGGACTTATCATCCGTGGAGAATAGGATCAATAGACTTCATTATTGGTGGAGAATAACCTCGGCCTGATTTCGTGATCTGTAGCCTCCAGAATCAAAAGAAAATGGCATTTCGGATAAATCGCCCGAAATCTGTGATGGTAACCCTTTGGAATCTGCCAAAAATTGACCGGGAATAAATCCGCCCAAATCGGTGCTTAATGGACTTAATCATCGTTGAAGAATAGCCTTAGACCGAATTCGTGACCTGTAGCCTTCAAAATCCAAAGAAAATGTCATTTTGTTGCCCCATAAATAACAAAAATGTCATACGAAAATGAATTGGCCCAAATCGGTGCTTAATGGACTTAATCATCGTTGAAGAATAGCCTCAGGCCGAATCCGCGACCTGTAGCCTTCAAAATCCAAAGAAGATGGCCTTTCGCCGGCCCATAAATTACGAAAATGCCATACAAAAATAAATTGGCCAAAATCGGTGCTTAATGGACTTATCATCCGTCGAGAATCGGACCAATAGACTTTACTATCGGTAGAGAATAGCCTCCCCGCCTGATTCCGTGATCTGTAGCCTCCAGAATCGAAAGAAAATGGCATTTCGGAAAAATCGCCTGAAATATGTGATGGTAGTAACCCTTTGGAATCTGCCAAAAATTGACTCGGAATAAATCCGCCCAAATCGGTGCTTAATGGACTTAATCATCGTTGAAGAATATCCACAGGCCGAATCCGCGACTTGTAGCCTTCAAAATCCAAAGAAAATGGCATTTCGTTGCCCCATAAATTACGAAAATGCCATCCAAAAATTAATTGGCCCAAATCGGTGTTTCATGGACTTATCATCCGGGGAGAATCTGATCAATAGACTTCATTATCGATGGAGAATAGCCTCGGCCTGATTTCGTGATCTGTAGTCTCCAAAATCGAAAGAAAATGGCATTTCGGAAAAATCGCCCGAAATATTTGATGGTACCCCTTTAGAATCTGCAAAAAATTGACCCGGAATAAATCCGCCCAAATCGCTGCTTAATAGACTGAATCATCGTTGAAGAATAGTCTTAGGTAGAATCCGCAACATGTAGCCTTCAAAATCCAAAGAAAATGGCCTTTCGTTGCCCCATAAATTACGAAAATGACATCCTAAAATCAATTGGCCCGAATCGTTGCTTAATGGAGTTATCATCCGTCTAGAATAGGATCAATAGACTTCATTATCGGTGAAGAATAGCCTCGACCTGATTCCGTGATCGGTAGTCTCCAGAATCGAAAGAAAATGATATTTCGGAAAAATCGCACGAAATCTGTGATAGTACCCCTTTGGGATTTGCCAAAAATTGACCCAATATAAATCCGCCCAAATCGGTGCTTAATGGACTTAATCATCATTGAAGAATAGCTTTAGGCTGAATCCTTGACCTGTAGCCTTCAAAATCCAAAGAAAATGGCCTTTCATCGCACCATGAATTACAAAAATGCCAACCGAAAAAAATTTGGTCCAACTTGGTGCTTAATGGACTTATCATCCGTGGCGAATAGGATCAATAGACTTCATTATCGGTGGAGAATAGTCGCGGCCTGATATCGTGATCTGTAGCCTCCAGAATCGAAAGAAAATGGCATTACGGAAAATCGCCCTAAATCTGTGATGGTGTGATGGTACCCCCTTTGGAATATGCAAAAAATTGACCCAGAATAAATCCAACCAAATCAGTGCTTAATGGACTTAATCATAGTTGAAGAATTGCCCCAGGCTGAATCCGCGACCTGTAGCCTTCAAAATCCAAAGAAAATGCCATTTTGTCGCCCCATTAATTACAAAAATGACATCCGAAAATAAAATGACCCAAATCGGTGCTTAATGGACTTATCATCCGTCGAGAATAGGATCAATAGACGTCATTATCGGTGGAGAATAGCCTCCTCCAGATTCCGTGATCTGTAGCCTCCATAATCGATAGAAAATGACATTTCGGAAAAATCGCCCGAAATCTGTGCTTAATGGACTTAATCATCATTGAAAAATACCCTCAGGCCGAATTAGTGACCCGTGGTATTCAAAATCCAAAGAAAAGGCCCTTTCGTCGCTCCATAATTTACGAAAATGGCATCCGAAAATAAATTGGTCAAAATCGGTGCGTAATGGAGTTATCATCCATGGAGAATAGGATCAATAAACTTCATTATCGGTGTAGAATAGCCTAAGCCTGATTCTTTGACCTATAGACTCCAGTATTGAAAGAAAATGGCATTTCGGAAAAATCGGCTGAAATCTGTGATGGTACCCCTTTGGAATATGCCAAAAATTGACCCAGAATAAATCTGCCCAATGGACTTAATCTATTTGAAGAATAGTCTCAGGCCGAATCCACGACCTGTAGCCTTCAATATCCAAAGAAAATGGTCTTTCGTCGCCCCATAAATTACGAAAATTCCATCAGAAAATAAATTGGCCCAAATCGGTGCTTAATGGACTTATCATCCATGGAGAGTACGATCAATAGACTTCATTATCGATGGAGAATAGCCTCGGCCTGATTATGTATCTGTAGTCTCAAGAATCGAAAGAAAATGGCATTTCGATAAAAGTGCACGAAATCTATGACGGTACCCCTTTGGAATATGCCGAAAATTGACCCGGAATACATCCGCCCAAATCAATGCTTAATGGACTTAATTGTCGTTGAAGAATAGCGTCAGGCCAAATCCGTGACTTATAGCCTTAAAAATCCAAAGAAAATGGACATTCGTCGCCCCATAAATTACAAAAATGTCATTCCAAAATAAATTGACCCAAATTGATGCTTAATGGACTTATCATCCGTGGAGAATAGGATCACTAGACTTCATTATCGGTGGAGAATAGCCTCGGCGTGATTCCGTGATCTGTAGCCTCCTGAATCAAAAGAAAATGACATTTCGGAAAAATTGCCCAAAATTTGTGATGGTACCCATTTGGAATCTGCCAAAAATTGACCCGGAATAAATCAGCCCAAATTGGTGGTTAATTGACTTAATCATCGTTGAAGAATAGCATCAGGCCAAATCCGTCACTTAAAGCCTTTAAAATCCAAAGAAAATGGACTTTCGTCGCCCCATAAATTACGAAAATGTCATTCCAAAATAAATTGGCCCAAATCGGTGCTTAATGAACTTATCATCCATGGAGAATAGGATCAATAAACTTCATTATCGGTGGAGAATAGCCTCGGCCTGATTCCGTGATCTGTAGTCTCAAGAATCGAAAGAAAATGGTATTTCGGAAAAATCGCATGAAATCTATGATGGTACCCCTTTGGAATCTGTCGAAAATTGACCCGGAATAAATCCGCCCAAATCAGTGCTTAATGGACTTAATTATCGTTGAAGAATAGCGTCAGGCCAAATCCGTGATCTGTAGCCTTCAAAATCCAAAGAAAAAGGCCTTTCGTCGCCCCATAAATTACGAAAATGCCATTCCAAAATAAATTGGCCCAAATCGGTGCTTAATTGACTTATCATCCATGGAGAATAGGATCAATAGACTTCATTATCGATGGAGAATATCCTCGTCCTGATTCCGTGATCTGTAGCCTCTAGAATCGAAAGAAAATGGCATTTCGGAAAAATCGCCCGAAATCTGTGATGGTGCCCATTTGGAATATGCCAAAAATTGACCTGGAATAAATCCGCCACAATCGGAGCTTAATGGACTTAATTATCTTTGAAGAATAGCCTCAGGCGGAATTAGTTACCTGTGGCCTTCAAAATCCAAAGAAAATGGCCTTTCGACGCCCCATAAATTACGAAAATGCAATATGAAAATAAATTGGTCAAAATAGATGCTTAATGGACTTATCATCCGTGGAGAATAGGATCAATAGACTTAATTATCGGTGGAGAATAGCCTAAGCCTGATTTCGAGTTTTGTAATCTCCAGTATTGAAAGAAAATGACATTGCAGAAAAATCGATCGAATCTGTGATGGTACCCCATTGGAATCTGCCAAAAATTAAACCCGAATAAATCCGCCCAAATAAGTGCTTATTGGACTTAATCATCGTTGAAAAATAGCTTCAGGCCGAATCCGTGATCTGTAGCCTTCAAAATCCAAAGAAAATGGCCTTTCGTCGCCCCACAAATTACGAAAATGCCTTCCAAAAATAAATTGGCCCAATCGGTTCCTAATGGACTTATCATCCGTGGAGAGTAGAATCAATAGACTTCATTATCGATGGAGAAAAGCCTCTGTCTGATTCCGTGATCTGTAGCCTCCAGAATCGAAAGAAGATGGCATTTCGGATAAATTGCTCAAAATCTGTGATGGTACCCCTTTGAAATCTGCCAAAAATTGACCCAGACTAAATCCGCCCAAATTGGTGCTTAATGGAATTAGTCATCGATGAAGCATATCCTCAGGCTGAATCCGTGATCTGTAGCCTTCAAAATCCAAAGAAAATGGCCTTTCGTCGCCCCACAAATTACGAAAATGTCATCCGAAAATAACTTGGCCCAAATAGGTGCTTAATGGACTTATCATCCGTGGAGAATAGTATCAATAGACTTCATTATCGGTGGAGAATAGCCTCGGCCTGATTTCGTGATATGTAGCCTCCAGAATTGAAAGGAAATGGAAATTCGGAAAAATCGTTCGAAATTTATAATGGTACCCCTTTGGAATATGCCAAAAATTGACCAGGAAGAAATCCTCCTAAATTGGTGCTTAATGGACTTAATCATTGTTGAAGAATAGCCTTAGGCCAAATTCCCGAGCTGTAGCCTTAAAAATCCAAAGAAAATGGCCTTTCGTCGCTCCATAAATTACGACAATGCAATCCGAAAATAAATTGGCTCAAATCGGTGCTTAATAGACATATCATCCATGGTGAATAGGATCAATAGACTTCATTATCGGTGGAGACTAGCCTCGGCCTGATTTCGTGTCTGTAGCCTCCAGAATCGAAAGAAAATGTTATTTCGGAAAAATCGCATGAAATCTGTGATTTACCCCTTTGGAATATGCCAAAAATTGACCTGGAATAAATCCGCCCAAATCGGTGCTTAATGGACGTAATCATCTTTGAAGAATAGCCTCAGGCCGAATTAATTACATGTGGCCTTCAAAATCAAAAGAAAATGCCCTTTCGTCGCCCCATAAATTATGAAAATGCCATATGAAAATAAATTGGTCAAAATCGGTGCTTAATGGATTTATCATCCGTGGAGAATAGGATCAATAGACTTCATTATCGGTGGAGAATAGCTTAAGCATGATTTCGTGATCTGTAGTCTCCAGAATCGAAAGAAAATGACATTTCGGAAAAATTGGGAAAAATCTGTGAAGGTACGCCTGTGGAATCTGCCAATAATTGACCCAGAATAAATCCCCCCAAATTAGTGCTAAATAGACTTAATCATCGTTGAAGAATAGCCTCAGGCCGAATCCGTGATCTGTTGCCTTCAAAATCCAAAGAAAATGGCCTTACGTCGTCGCATAAATTACGAAAATGTCATCCGAAAATAAATTGGCCCAAATCAGTGCTTAATGGACTTATCATCCATGGAGAATAGGAACAATAGACTTCGTTATCGGTGGAGAATAGCCTCGGTCTGATTTCGTGATCTGTAGCCTCCAGAATTGAAAGAAAATGACATTTCGGAAAAATCGCCCGAAATCTGTGATGGTGCCCCTTTTGAATATGCCAAAAATTTACCTGGAAAAAATCCGCCCAAATCGGTGCTTAATGGACTTAATTATCTTTGAAGAATAGCCTCAGGCCGAATTAGTGACCTGTGGCCTTCAAAATCCAAAGAAAATGGCCTTTCGTCGCCCCATAAATTACGAAAATGCCATATGAAAATAAATTGGTCAAAATAGATGCTTAATGGACTTATCATCAGTGGAGAATAGGATCAATAGACTTAATTATTGGTGGAGAATAGCCTAAACCTGATTCCGTGTTTTGTAGTCTTCAATATCGAAAGAAAATGACATTTCAAAAAAATCAACCGAAATCTGTGATGGTACCCCTTTGGAATCTGCCAAAAATTGACCCCGAATAAATCCGTCCAAATAAGAGCTTAATTGATAGACCGTCATTTACACATGTTTTTACCCCCATTCTTACACCGTTTGAGGTGTTGATTCTCGTGTTTTAGGCCGATTTCACGGTAGGTTGTGCTTGTTTGTGATATTTCAGGTCTTAGGACGTGAATGAAGGCTTAGGAGCGAGTCTGGGGTCGATTGGACGAGGATCGGACGCATGGCGAGGTTCTGAGGAAGTCGCACGGGCACACCCACAACCCGCACGGCCGTGCAAGTGACCAGTTTGGCCGTGCGGGATCGTGCGTGGGCACGCACGGGATTGTGCGTGGCCACGCACGGGATTGTGCGTGGCCACGCACGGCCGTGCAAGTGACCAGTTTGGCCGTGCGGGATTGTGCGTGGGCACGCACGGGCACAAGTGAAATCCGCACGGCCGTGCAACATACAATTCTGGCCGTGCGAGTTGGCTGAGGTTCAACTAATTGATACGCCGCGTTTTGAGGTGCACGGCCAGAATGGTGATGTGCACGGCCGTGCACCCTGGCCGTGCGAGTCGGGAATGGCTGTTTTTAACCCAAATTCGAGCCAAAGGAGAGGGAGAGCTGGGTTTTGGATCCCAAACACCCAAGGGACGAACCCTAGAGAGAGAGAGCGACTTGGGAACATTCTTGGAGCTATTTTGGAGGATTTCTTCGCCATTGGAGCTCGGGAATCAAGCTTGGAGATGGAGATTGAAGATCTAGATCAGATTTCTGCAGTCTCTCTCTTCTCTATGGAGTAACTTCCCTTCACTTAGGTTTTGAGGAACCTTAGTTCCATGAGTTAGGATCTTTCTTGTATGAAGTTTTGGATGTTATATTGTTTGATTATAATCGAATGATGCATGTTTATTGAGTCAATTGAAGTCTGATCAACTTTTCCTGATTCCTGCTGCAATCTGAGATAGATAGAATCTGATTAGGTTGCTAGAGTCTCATCATTCGATAGTAGGAGATTGGCTATACGAGAGTTAGCCAGTTTACTGCTTTGTACTGGAATCCAATTCCAGTAGTGGAGTTCTGTGCTTATTGCTTCAGCTTTCTATCTCGGTGAAGACTAGTCGTCTGCCGGATAGTTAAACTGAGACGGCTTGGTCAGCTTAAGAGATTCCAAGCTACTGTCGGATCTTCCGCAGTTTAATCAACAGTAAATCAACCAAAAGGAATTACAACTTGGACCTAATTGAGGAGCTAGGGGGAATCATACCTAAGTGAGTTCCCAAACTGTAATCAGTAGTTTTACTTAGTTTAGTTAGTAGAGTAGTTTAGTTAATCAATCCTTAATCTAGTTTGCTAGATAATGAACTGAAGCTGAGTAATAGTAACTCTAGAGACCCGTGGATTCGATATTTATTACTTGTACCACTATACTGCAGTCCCTTTCATTGGTTACACTTGGCCATTGTTAGGTGTTGTGTTTTGGAGCATCATTAATGGACTTAATCATCGTTGAAGAATAGCCTCAGGCCGAATCCGTGATCTGTAGCCTTCAAAATCCAAAGAAAATGGCGTTACGTCGCCCCACAAATTATGAAAATGAAATCCGAAAATAAATTGGCCCAATCGGTGCCTAATGGACTTATCATCCGTGGAGAGTAGGATCATTAGACTTGATTATCGATGGAGAATAGCCTCTACCTGATTCTGTGATCTGTAGCCTCCAGAATCGAAAGAAAATGGCATTTCGGGAAAATTGCCCAAAATCTGTGATGGTACCCCATTTAGAATCTGCTAAAAATTGACCCGGAATAAATCCGCCGAAATTGGTGTTTAATGGACTTAATCATCGTTGAAGAATAGCCTTAGGCCTAATCCGTGACATGTAGCCTTCAAAATTCTAAGATAATAGCCTTTCGACGCCCCAAAAATTTCAAAAATGCCATCCGAAAATAAATTGGCCCAAATCGGTCCTTAATGGACTTATCATCCGTGGAGAATAGGATCAATAGACTTCATTATTGGTGGAGAATAACCTCAGTCTGATTTCGTGATATGTAGCCTCCAGAATTGAAAAAAAATGGCAATTCAGAAAAATCGCACGAAGTCCGTGATGGTACCCTTTGGAATATGCCAAAAATTGACCAGGAATAAATCCGCCCCAATCGGTGCTTAATGGACTTAATCATTGTTGAAGAATAGCCTTAGGCCAAATTCCCAACCTGTAGCCTTCAAAATCCAAAGAAAATGGCCTTCGTCGCTCCATAAATTACGAAAATGCAATCCAAAAATAAATTGACTCAAATCGGTGCTTAATGGGCTTATCATCCGTGGAGAATAGGATTAATTAACTTCATTATCTGTGGAGAATATCCTTGGCCTGATTCCGTGATCTGTAGCCTCCAGATTCAAAAGAAAATGACATTTCGAAAAAATCGCTCGAAATCTATGATGGTACCCCTTTGTAATCTGCCAAAAATTGACCCATAATATATCCGCCCAAATCGGTGCTTAATGGACTTAATCATCATTGAAAATAGCCTTAGGCCAAATCCGCGACCTGTAGCCTTCAAAATCCAATGATAATGGCCTTTCGTCGCTCCATAAATTACGAAAAATACAATCCGAAAAAATTGGTTAAAATCGGTGCTTAATGGACTTATCATCCAAGGAGAATAGGATCAATAGACTTCATTGTTGGTGCAAACTAGCCTCGGCCTGATTTCGTGATCCGTAGCCTCCATAATCAAAAGAAAATGACATTTCGGAAAAATCACCCAGAATCTGTGATGGTACCCCTTTGGAATCTGCCAAAAATTGACCCGGAATTAATCAGCCCAAATCGGTGCTTAATGGACTTAATCATCGTTGAAGAATAGCCTCAGGCCGAATCCGTGACTTGTAGCCTCCAAAATGAAAAGAAAATGGCCTTTCGTCGACCCATAAATTACGGAAATGGAATCCGAAAATAAATTGGCCCAAATCTGTGGTTAATGCACTTATCATCCGTGGAGAATAAGATCAATAGAATTCATTATCGGTGGAGAATAGCCTCGTCCTGATTCCGTGATCTGTAGTCTCCAGAATCGAAAGAAAATGGCATTTCAAAAAAATCGCTCGAAATCTGTGAAGGTATCCCTTTGGAATCTGCCAAAAATTGACCCGGAATTAATCCGCCCAAATCGGTGCTTAATGGACTTAATCATCGTTGAAGAATAGCCTGAGGCAGAATCCGTGACTTGTAGACTTCAAAATCAAAAGAAAATGGTCATTCGTCGCTCCCTAAATTACGAAAATGCATTTCCGAAAAAAATTGGCCCAAATCGATGCTTAATGGACTTATCATCCGTGGAGAATAAGATCAATAGACTTCACTATCGGTGGAGAATAGCCTCGGACAAATTCTGTGATCTGTAGCCTCCAGAATCGAAAGAAAATGACATTTCGAAAAAATCGCACGAATTGTCTGATAGTACGCCTTTGGAATCTGCCAAAAATTGACTCGGAATAAATCCGCCCAAATCGGTGCTTAATGGACTTAATCATCGTTGAAGAATAGCCTCAGACCAAATCCGTGACCTGTAGCCTTCAAAACCCAAAGAAAATGGCCTTTCGTCGCCCCATAAATTATGAAAATGCAATCCAAAAATAAATTGGCCCAAATCGGTTCTTAATGGACTTATCATCCGTGGAGAATAGGATCAATAGACTTCATTATCGGTGGAGAATATCCTTGGCCTGATTCCGTGATCTGTAGCCTCCAGATTCAAAAGAAAATGACATTTCGAAAAAAAAGCTCGAAATCTATGATGGTACCCCTTTGTAATCTGCCAAAAATTGACCCAGAATATATCCGCCCAAATCGGTGCTTAATGGACTTAATCATCGTTGAAAATAGGCTTAGGCCAAATCCGTGACCTGTAGCCTTCAAAATCCAATGGTAATGGCCTTTCCTCGCTCCATAAATTACGAAAAATACAATCCAAAAAAATTGGTTAAAATCGGTGCTTAATGGACTTATCATCCAAGGAGAATAGGATCAATAGACTTCATTGTTGGTGCAGACTAGCCTCGGCCTGATTTCGTGATCTGTAGCCTCCATAATCGAAAGAAAATGACATTTCGGAAAAATCACCCATAATCTGTGATGGTACCCCTTTGGAATCTGCCAAAAATTGTCCCGGAATTAATCAGCCCAAATCGGTGCTTAATGGACTTAATCATCGTTGACGAATAGCCTCAGGCCGAATCCGTCACTTGTAGCCTCCAAAATGAAAAGAAAATGGCCTTTCGTCAACCCATAAATTACGGAAATGGAATCCGAAAATAAATTGGCCCAAATCTGTGGTTAATGCACTTATCATCCGTGGAGAATAAGATCAATAGAATTCATTATCGGTGGAGAATAGCCTCGTCCTGATTCCGTGATCTGTAGTCTCCAGAATCGAAAGAAAATGGCATTTCGAAAAAATCGCTCGAAATCTGTGATGGTATCCCTTTGGAATCTGCCAAAAATTGACCCGGAATTAATCCACCCAAATCGGTGCTTAATGGACTTAATCATCGTTGAAGAATAGCCTCAGGCCGAATCCGTGACTTGTAGCCTTCAAAATCAAAAGAAAATGGCCATTCATCGCTCCCTAAATTACGAAAATGCATTTCCGAAAAAAAATGGTCCAAATCGATGCTTAATGGACTTATCATCCGTGGAGAATAAGATCAATAGACTTCATTATCGGTGGAGAATAGTCTCGGACAAATTCTGTGATCAGTAGCCTCCAGAATCGAAAGAAAATGACATTTCGAAAAAATCGCACGAATTGTTTGATAGTACCCCTTTGGAATCTGCCAAAAATTGACTCGGAATAAAACCGCCCAAATCGGTGCTTAATGGACTTAATCATCGTTGAAGAATAGCCTCAGACCAAATCCGTGACCTGTAGCCTTCAAAATCCAAAGAAAATGGCCTTTCGTCGCCCCATAAATTACGAAAATGCAATCCAAAAATAAATTGGCCCAAATCAGTTCTTAATGGACTTATCATCCGTGGAGAATAGGATCAATAGACTTTATTATCGGTGGAGAATATCCTTGGCCTGATTCCGTGATCTGTAGCCTCCAGATTCAAAAGAAAATGACATTTCGAAAAAATCGCCCGAAATCTATGATGGTACCCCTTTGTAATCTGCCAAAAATTGACCCAGAATATATCCGCCCAAATCGGTGCTTAAAGGACTTAATCATGTTGAAGAATAGCCTCAGGCCGAATCCGTGACCTGTAGCCTTCAAAATCCAAAGAAAATGGCCTTTTGTCGCACCATAAATTACGAAAATGCCATCCGAAAATAAATTTGCCCAAATCGGTACTTAATGGACTTATCATCCGTGGAGAGTGGGATCAATAGACTTCATTATCGATGGAGAATAGCCTCTGCCTGATTCCGTGATCTGTAGCCTCGAGAATCGAAAGAAAATGGCATTTCGGAAAAATCGCCCTGAATCTGTGATGGTAGCCCTTTGGAATATGCCAAAAATTGACCTCGAATAAATCA